TATATTTATTTAATTTATAGAAGACTTAAATCATGATTCTCTGTATAGACCCAACAATTCCAGACATGTTGACACAATTTTATCATGATGGATGTTCCGAGCGCTGACAGTGTCAGCCTATTACAGTTAGGAATTCCACCTTGCTCTACTCAAATACTGTGTTGCATTCAAGAACTAATTGCATTATGAATGGTCACCTTAACCAAATAGTGAATTCTATGTTATATACATGTAGTTGTTTGTATGCTATATTGAATTTACTTAACTAAGTTATTTTATAGTTTATTTGGTGTAATTTCTCACTGACAATATCTTGTTGAAGATTGAATAGAAATTGTGTGTTTGATACCTTTCATAAGTGAATCTTAGTTTTTTCTATATTTTTAAAAAGATTTGATCTAAATCTATAGTGTAAGAGCAAAATATGGGGTTAACACATTCCCTGGTGTATTAATTTTATGTCAATTTGGTTTAAAATTAATGAAGAAATTATAGAAAACTACATACATACTACATATATGGAATACGTGTAGTGATTATATTGCTGAAAGCACTTGCTATTCAGTGAGGGGTTTACTCATGGTGATAGCATAATGATCTCAATTCAAATCTAGAGAAATATGCAGAGTTAATCATAAAATATATTGTATACTTTATAAAGCTCTGAATTTAAAATCTAGTGAATATTCTTGCAACCACAATGAAATGTCTACAAAATGATCATCTAGATTTTTGTGACCTTTTTACTCCGCTACAATATTTTAGTCACGGAGGGAGTGAATCATTAGGATGTTGGAAAGTGTTGAAAACTGCACTAATCAAGTCATAGGTTATTGCCATGGTTACAGACTGATGACTCATGTAGGAGAGAGAAGATAGACAACATTCTTTTTTTTTTTCCCTTAAATATTTATTTACAGCAGTCCTTGCATTGAATGGACTGTTTTATTTTCTACTCCATTTTTCGCTGTAAAAAAAGTGTTGTTTTTGGTATCGCACCATTCAACAATTTGATGGGAGATATTCAGTTACTAGCAAATATTCACATTTTCTGCTCATTGAATAGCAATTAAAAAACTGTTCTGTGTTTCAAGACAAATTATCATTTTTAATCTTCAAAAAATTGGTTCATATTTCAGATCAGCTGTATAGCTGACATGCCACTGCTGATCTGTTAGGACTGTGTCTGACATGATTGCAATGTTGCAGTCACTGCTAGTTGGGACTGCGTCTGACATGATTGCTAGTTGTGACTGTGCCTGACATGATTGCAATGTTGCAGTCACAGCTGGTTTGTTAGGACTGCGTCTGACATGATAGCAATGTTGCAGTCACTGCTAGTTGGAACTGCGTCTGACATGATTGCAATGTTGCAGTCACTGCTAGTTGGGACTGCGTCTGACATGATTGCAATGTCGCAGTCACTGCTAGTTGGGACTGCGTCTGACATGATTGCAATGTTGCAGTCACTGCTAGTTGGGACTGCGTCTGACATGATTGCAATGTCGCAGTCACTGCTAGTTGGGACTGCGTCTGACATGACTGCAATGTCGCAGTCACTGCTAGTTGGGACTG